TTTTTTTTTTTTTTTTTTTTTTTTGGTTTATGTGATTTGTGATTTTGACATTGGGAAATGTGTTTGGTACTTATAGAGAGCCTGCGAACCTACTGTTTAGGAGCATTCGAAATATGATTTTATGATGCTGATATCAGCAAGTCAATCAGAATACGATAATACATGGATGATTAGGGAAATAAAGTTAAAAATCTTGGTGGAATTTGTAAGGTCATGTATTTTTTTTTGCAAAGGTAATGACAATCATATGGATGACTTTACTAGGCTAGCTTACTAAAAATGCTCTTATGGATGACTTTGGTAGGCTTACTTAAAATGCTCTTCTAGATTGAGGTGACTATATTTTTCGCAAAGGTAATGGCAATCATGGATGACTTTGCTAGGTTTACTGAAAAAGCTCGTCTGGAGTGGAGAGACTATAATAACTATCGTTTTATTACAAAAGAAAGGCGAGGGATATTTGTTGTGGCGGCCTCATCTGCCTAGATTTTATGCATTTGTGGCCGTAGATTTCCATTTACTTAGATTCCTTCTTGGGCTCGGGTTGGTTGATGGTCGTGGGATACAATTAAATGGAAAACGCGCGGCCACATTTTTCTTCACATTTTTCTCTCCACTCTCTCCACATTTTTCCGCCGCCGCCGGACCGCCGCCAACCTCTATTAATTGACTTTACTATTTTATCACATAATGATTAATTATCTATATCTATATCTATATCTATATCTATATCTATATCTAATGCTCCCCTACTCACGGTGAGCACATGTTAATATGTCCACCGCTTATGTGGCATGCACACATTGGTGGTGTTAATATGTTCAAAAAAATACATCATCAAATGTGTGCATGACACATAAGCGGTGGACATATTAACATGTGTCCACCGTGGGTAGGGGAGCATTCCTCCTATATCTATATCTATATCTATATATTGGACCAATCTTTATTACAATAATTGACATAGTTTTAGGCGGAAAAATATTTTCATCTATATTTAGCATATAATTAGCCTTTATCTATTAGCAAATTTTATATATGAACGTTAATTATTTTTTGTTTACTCATTCACTAATATTCATTGGTTATAAATTGACTTAAACAGAATATTGATTGATTACATATATTTTCAATAAGATCATAATAATTTTGTAGTTATTTTTTGACAGAATTAGAAAAACTATTCAAATTATGGAATATTAATTTGATTAATAGAATCATCTCATGATTGTAGATATTAGTTTTATTAATTATGTTAACCGTTCAAAAGCACTTAAAATATCTAACAAATAATCAGAATAATTGTGTTTGAATCATATTAACTTAATGAATAATTTACACTAATACAAAATTTGCTAAAATATAGTCAACATAGCCATTAAAAAGTATATCTCCATCAAATATATTATTTTATTAGATAACTACTGAAAATTAAAATTAATATATTAATAAAACTATTATTTAATAGTCCAGTAAAATTAAGAATTGTAAGTTTTACATTAGAAATATCTATATACATAAAAAACGATTAAGTTGTAATAAAGTATATTTCTTAGTATATACTCTTTAATAAGGAAAAATGAGTAAATAGGATAATATAGTCAAATATCATAATTAAAATTATAGCATTTGATTAAAATATATAATTTATCTAAACATTTAAATTTGATGTTAATACACTCATTATATACGTTGAATAAATTTATTAAATATGTAAATATAGACGAAAAATTTATAAATAAAAATAAATAGTTTACTGTGAAAACATTTTGTTGCATAAGCAATTAAAGTTACTACAATGAGTTTTTTCAATACAAGAGCTGAAAGATAGGTAAGCTATCAATTCGGGGTCTGAAAGATTTTTTCTCAATTCGGGACCTAAATGTTATAAAACTATCAAATTAAGTCTGATTTGATAGTTTTATAACATTTAGGTCCCGAATTGAGAAAAAAAATCTTTCAGGCCACGAATTGATAGTTTACACATCTTTCAGAAAAATAAATTCTGCGGTTTAGAACATTTGTTAGCTATCGAGCAATATGCAAAATATGAATTGTTGAAAATCTATATCTATATAATGGACCAATCTTTATTACTATAATTGACATAGTTTTAAGCGGGAAAATATTTTCAATTTAGCATATAATTAGCCTTTATCTATTAGCAAATTTTATATATGAACATTAATTATTTTTTGTTTACTCACTCACTAATATTCATTAGTAATAAATTGACTTAAATAGAATATTGATTGATTACATATATTTTCAATAAGATCATAATATTAATTTTGTAGTTATTTTTTGACAGAATTAATAAAAAACTATTCAAATTATGAAATATTAGTTTGATTAATAGAATCATCTCATGATTGTATATATTAGTTTTATTAATTATGTTAACCGTTCAAAAGCACTTAAAATATCTAACAAATAATCAGAATAATTGTGTTTGAATCATATTAACTTAATGAATAATTTACACTAATACAAAATTTGCTAAAATATAGTCAACATATCCATTAAAAAGTATATCTCCATGAAATATATTATTTTGTTAGATAACTATTGAAAATTAAAGTTAATATATTAATAAAATTATTATTTAATAGTCCTGTGACATTAAGAATTGTAAGTTTTACATTAGAAATATCTATATACATAAAAAAATGATTAAGTTGTAATAAAGTATATTTCTTAGTATATACTCCATCCTATTCATTATAAATGTCGTTTTGACTTTTTTGATTCATCCATTTTGTTACGTATCTAGACATTAATATGTCTAGATACGTAAATGAATCAAAAAAGTCAAAACGACATTTATAATGAACATGAGGTAGTACTATTTAATCAGGAAAAATGAGTAAATAGGATAATATAGTCAAATATCATAATTAAAATTATAGCATTTGATCAAAATATATAATTTATCTAAACATTTAAATTTGATGTTAATACACTCATTATATACGTTCAATAAATTTATTAAATATGTAAATATAGACGAAAAATTTATAAATAAAAATAAATAGTTTACTATGAAAAATTTTTGTTGCATAAGCAATTAAAGTTACTACAATGGTTTTTTCAATACAAGACCTGAAAGATAGGTAAACTATCAATTCGGGGCATGAAAGATTTTTCGCAATTCGGGACCTTAATGTTATAAAACGATCAAATTAGACTTAATTTGATAGTTTTATAGCATTTAGGTCCCGAATTGAGAAAAGAAATCTTTCAGGCCATGAGTTGATAGTTTACACATCTTTCAGGAAAATAAATTTTGCGGTTTAGAACATTAGTTAGCTATCGAGCAATATGCAAAATATGAATTGTTGAAAAAATTGTAAGATCAAAATAATTAATAATTTTACGAGTATACGTAAGCAATTTGTATACAAACATCATATTTAAATTCTGGATATTTACACTTTTAAAAATTTATAACATATATACAAACATCATATTTAAATTCTGGATATTTACACTTTTAAAAATTTATAACATAGTAAGATTTAATGATTTATATCTTAAATAGCCAAACCTGTAAAATGAATTAAAAAAGATACTGAAACAAAATTTATATTATTACTAACTTAATATATTGAGTGAGATATAATTATCAATATTTGAGTAAATTAACAATATTTGAGTAATAAATTATTAATTTATAGTATACTTTGTGCATCGCAAAGGTATCAAAACCGAAGTTCTTACAACTCGGATCTAGACCGGAGCTCCCTTAGATCGACTTAAAGGCGTTAGGCTGGACTGGATGACATAAGCTCCTAGAAGTCGGAGGTCGAGTGACGACCTAGACTTAGGCGACCTGGGTCCTCGTTTAGCTAGCTGGTGGGAGATGGGCATGTCTAGCTTGAGATGGTATGTTGACGAGCTGAAAGAGGCGTTAGCTTCAAGACCTCTATATTTAGGATCGCAAGGATCTTAAGAATGTGGTGGATATGGAAAGCAATCTAGCGCTAGCTTATGAAAGTACGTGGATATTTAGTTTCCTTAGAAAAATAATTGTAGGATAAGGTAACTATTTCATATAAAGGTGAAGGTATGATCGTCTTTATTACATTATGAATATTATGCATTATTATTCACAGTGGCGAAACCAGCCGGTCATCCTGGGAAGGGCCTAATTTGCCGCGGCGCACCACCCCCACTCCGGTCATCCCGCGGCACACCACCCCCACTCCGGCATCGGAAGGGCGCTCAAAGGGCTTTTGTGGATGCTCTAAAAAATTTTCGCAGGATATAAAGGAATACTCTAGAGATTTTTCTAAAAATCAAACTAAGTCCGGAATTAAACTGGTATACTTAAACTGGATTGTTTTAACTCGAATTTATACTAATAAAAATCTCGGACTCAATTATACCTCCTTTCGAATAGACGAAAAGCTGAAAAAATTGAGAAAACGAAGCCTCGAACGATCGAACTCGTCATCGACAAATTTGCTCATTTTGATACTATTTAACGCAGAAATTCAAACTCCCATAATAAATGCTCGGAACTTCGAAAAATGCGAAATTTGTCCGTATGGAATCGTGCTTGAATTGTCTACACACTCCAACTCGATTCTCGTTAAACTGAGGTCACACGCAACCTTACGGAACCCCGCAAAACGGTTTTTTTATTCTTCTATTATGCGCACTCGACTTCAAGCTTCTCAAAATAAATGCTCGAAACTTCGAAACGTGAAATAAATTTTACGAACGGCTTCTACTGTTCTCGTGCTTTCAAGAAAGCACTCCCGCTAATTTTCAGCATGCCTAACGAGGGCCGACGGTTACCCGAAGTCTATACATGAAAATGACAATAAAATCACCGCCACTGCCATTTTTCTCTCAACTTTGGGCTACCCAAAATAAATGGTCGGGACCTCAAAATCATAAATCGAAGCCACCAACGCACTCTCCGCTTCCCGTACTTTCATAAAAGTATTTTTCGGTAATGATCGACTCGGTTTTTGCATCCCATCGGTATACCGCAATTCGGCTAATTAACCAACTCAAAATATAATAAAAATGAGAATATTATTAAATTCTGCTGCTGTTATAGTTCTCCTTGTCCCGAAACCAGGATCCCGTTTCGGGGAGGCCCAATTTGCCTTTAAAAAAAATTCTCACGACAAAACCGTTGGCGCCCCTCCGGCCATGTATGTACCGCATGAAATCGGGGAGGGCCCAACATGCGCGCTCAAAAGAAAATCTTCCAGTTCTAGCAAAATCCTTCACCCCTAGTTCGATTTTTTTTTTTTTTTTTGGGAGGGCCAGCGCCTCTCCGGGTGCCAACATAGTTTCGCCCCTGATTATTCATATATTAGATAGGAAAATGCTACGATCCTGTTACGGAACCATTCCGTCGAGGTTTGTAATCGTTAGATCATCATTTAACCGTCAGAGATAGTTGATCTAACGGTTAGAAATCTCGACGAAATGGTTCCGTAACGTGATCATCGCATCTTCCTATTAGATAATATACAAGAGGGACATAATAACTAGATCGTCGGTGGTTTTACGCCAGAACCACCCTCCTGATGGTTTTTCGGGTACTCAGACGAGAAGGTAAGTCAAATTTGGAGATCCAAAGAAAATCAATTACTTCAAAATCAACTTTTAAAAATGGCGTATCAAAGACAATATATTTTGGTTTTGGGCTAAAAGAGATTTTTCACCCTTTTATTTAAGTGATTCAAGATAACACAATGCGCACTCAGACGAAGTCCGATCGCTTGTAAAACCAACCCACAAGACCAAACTTCTCCACACAAAACCAAAATCACCTATCAACACATCAAAAGTCGTATCTTCACCAAAATAAAACAGAAAAACACACGTACGTCCTCAGGCGGCCGGCGACTGCGGGTAGGGCCTCGGCCTTGGCGGGAACGGAAACGGCGGCAGTGGCTGCGCGTACCCACACATCCCGTAGAAGCAAAACCTCGGGAAAAAGCACCTCTGGCCGCAGCCCCCGCAGTTGAACGGGCTGAGGTTGGTGTTGGAGCATAATCCCCTGCAGCACTGCCACGTGAAGGGGCAGCGGATCCCGCAGAGGCCGCAGTTGTTGGGGTCGGAAGTCACATCCACGCAGCGGTTCCGGCAGCAGCGCCGCCGGACCCTCGGGGTGTCGTCCTGGCGGCAGATCCACGGCCTCCGGCGGCAGCCCATCCGCCGGGGATTCTTGATTATTCCCCTCAGCCACGGCCCGTAGGTGGCGGTGGTGTTGGAGGGGTTTTCCGGCAAGGGGATTGTAGTTGTCGGGCTGTTTTCCGGTGCGGCGGCGGAATGTAGGAGGAGGAGAAGGGTTAGGAGGACGGTGAGCTTGGGGCTCAAGGTATTCATATCCATTAATCTTTCAGTTACCGATGGTTGGAATGGGTTTTTATCTGGGGAAGTTTATATATATATACACACTAATGTAAACACACATGGCTTTTGCTTGTGGAGTTCATGTTTTTGGTACGCAGGGTGAATACATGCAACATCTACGTGAAGATATGAGCATTTTTTTTTATTTTTCATAACATTTTGCATTAGGGAGTGGTATTCATGAGAATTGATCAGTTGCAAATGCAGGGCTTTTGCTTTTCTCACACATTTGGCCTTCTGTTTTTTTTATTTTGTTTCTCCATCAATTTTATTTTTTATTTTGTATTTTTGTAAAAAAAAAATGATATGGAATAATTGATTTTAGAAAAAGGTGATATAAGTATTATCTATTATAAATAGGGGAGATTCTACGGTCCCCGGGAGATTCTACGGTCCCGTTACGTAACGATTACGTCGAGTTTTGTAACCGTTAGATCAACTATCCACGACGGTTATATGATGATCTAACAGTTACAAATCCCGACGGAGTGGCTCCATAACGAGACTATAGCATTTCCTAATAAATAAACACAAGATAAAAATATAATAATTAACGTTGAGGTGATGTAAAAGTATTAAATATTGATTTATAGTGATTGATATTTGTCAAGAAGTTAATGGTATGGATAAATGTTGAAAGCCTTGAAAGTATGTCATGTAGAACATATATTTCATGTCATTTATTAACCGATTATGTACGACTTATTTAGCTCATTGTACAATAAGATTAGCACCTTTCATAAAATAACAACTTTGTACTTTAGTTTAGCACTTTTACATTGTTTAGTAGTCTTTACACATCTGACCCCAGTATATAAGGGCAACCCTTGTACAATATTCAATACGATTATCCATTTTCACCTAATACACAAAAGCCTTAATTTTCTGTTCATCTTTATTTCTCGTTTCTTCTTCCTCTTTTCCTGATGTATATGAACATCAATATCAATTAAACTATGGCAGGTGGCTGTCTTTACACAACCAATTTATATACAAGAGACAATACATCAGTATGGAATGCATCAAACCCCTAGTTGTTTATTGGTTACCTAGGAATCTTAGCTATGCGCAAACCATAGGAGTGCATGTGTCCACAACTAGTTTGTATTAGTTTTCTTCTTCAACGTTCAAAAGTGTACTCCTATGGTATTCAGGAATGACACCATGAAGGTGTTCATGTAGCTTATATTGCATGAAGAATGTTTGCATGAAGACACAATATGACTTCTACATCCCTCTCAATTCGAGCTCGAGTTTAGAAAAGATTTGAAACTTGTTCTTTAACCTGGTGAAGAATTGCAAGCTTAGAGGTTTTGTGCCACTTGATCAGTAGAAGGCACATGAAGAACATGAAGTCCCTTGGATAGAACTTGTTGTCTTACAAAATGTAAGTCAAATTCTATATGCTTTGTTCTTGCATGTTGTAGTGCATAAGAAGCTGCCACTGGGAACTTTTCCTTTTTATTAGACATCACAAACATCTATCTTCCAAATCAAGTTCAATGTATTGATATTCAGGATGGCTGCACAGTCATTTGCACTAAAAGCTCTTATTATCAAAGCTTCATTCTAGTTTCTCCCATTTGATCAACTACATCCCTCACCAAAATCAGATTCACCACCAGACCTGTCAATAATTCATTCTACTTCCCATCTGAATTGCCCAACTATGGTCCTAAATTTTTGTAGATAAGTCATTTCTTATTTTCTTTCTTAGCCCTCTTTAATCATTGTTCTAAACTCCAACCAATTGTTCCATAACCAAGAAGACTTTAGTTTTATTTTCTTTTTTTCCCAAAAAATTGAAGAGTTTGGAAATCGTCTGGTCTTTAATACTATGCTAACGAGAAGCTCAGACTAAGTGGTAATCCTCAACGGTTGCTACAATATCAGGGTTTCATTTAATAATTTGTGTCTTGGAAGCCTAGCCCACCTTTTCTATTATGTAAAGTTAGTAGATTCCAACTCTAGTGAATGCCCCTATTTTGGTCATCCCCCTTCCTCCACCAAAACTGAGCACGAAGTTGTGTTATTTCCTTGCAACGGCCAACAGAAAGGTTGAATAAAGACATATCAAAAATCGACAAACCATTTAAATTCTTTTTCTAGCTCCATTATTTTCCTCATAAACTGAAGAATATAGTCAAAGGCGTCTCTTTTTTTCTTTTCATATCCTCATTGGAAAGCAAGATATCTTAATGAAATGTGTGATTTGATACCCTCTAGAATACCACATATCATTTTCTGGTCCTGAACTGAAGTATTCTTACTGAAGAACACCGAGGTAATATCATTCCCTCTTATTCTCTGCATTGTGTATTCATGGAAGAACTTTGAGTTTGGGTCTCACTATTTTATCCGAAACATCTTTCTTTTTGTTACCAAGATTGCCCCTCTGAGCATTGGGATTTCTCCAACACTTTTTAGATAGTACCTCATTCTTCTCAATTTTCGTCTCCCCCATAATGCCTCATCTTTTCCAACCAGAGAGTAAGCTTTTCAATATGTCTTTTCTTTTTTATCTAAAGTGTATACTCCACATAAGTAGGTCAGTTCTTGCGTGATTGATCTTTTATTTCACTGTGTACATAGGAGTGCTAAGTTGGGTAGAGTTCCAAGCTTGTTGCACAATACCTTGAACTTCTTTAACCTTCAGTCACCTCTTATCAAATGTAAATCTCTTCATTATTTTTTTCAGTACCAGCATCATCTTCCACAAACAACATACAATGGCCAGAAGTACTCCTAAAATAATTTGACTTGTGAGTTGGGTGTTCTGGGCCATCCAGCCATAAAAGTTAAAAGCCTTATCAAGTTTTTCGTCCAAAAATCCTTCATGATCTCTGTAGTTTCTCTGGATGAATTTGTAACCTATCATTATCAGCTCATCCATTCCCATATATGATATGAAGTTATTGAATCCAATGAAGCTTTTGTCAGATCTTTCCCTACCTTCATTTTTTTCCTTGCTTCTGGTAATATCATTTCAGTCTCTTGTGATGATTCAGGTATCTCTCCACTCAGACTCTCTCTTTCCAGAAATTTACAATGGTCCTCTCCTAGCAATATGTCAACACTCAGGTAGACAAAAGTAATCCATCTGTGATTATTGACATATTGGAATTTAAACTCCATTTTAAACTAAAGTCTTTGGAGATGATATGCTTAATATGCACCTCCAAGTCCCAATGTTACGACCCCCCATCCACCCCTTCCACACTATAGTCTTTATGGGTCACCATGGAGCCATTTTTAATTGGCTACCTCCACCATCTTCCCAGTCAACTTCTAGCAATTTGGTTTTTCAGAAACTATGCCTCTTTCCTCCTTTAGTTGATTATCCATCCCCTGTATGCTCCTCTTTAGACATTTCCAAATTCATAGTTTCTTCTCTAGCACTGATTCACATTGTATTCTGTCTTCCTTTGACTAAGATCTTCTCTAGGTTTTTGGTCGTTGGATCAAAATTGTTGTGTATAAACACTTTCTTCTGCCCCTCACTAGTTCCAGCTCCATTCCAATGATTAAAGCTTCTTCAAGCTTATCTCTATCCTCTTCAAGTGGACTGGTGGGCTTCATTGGCAATAGTCTATTAGTTTTGGCCATATTAGAATACTAAGTTAGATCTTTTGATGAACTGATTTCACAAAGCACAAGCTCTGGTTTTGTCTGGCATCAGGTGTATGTTCTCCAATGTCCTTTCTGCAGCTTCACTGATAGATTTTCTATTTGCCTCTGCATTCCTAGTTGAGTTAACACTAAGATTTGGAGCAGTTGGTTGGGCCTCCGAGGACAATATAGTTTTATTAATTTTTCATACTTGAAATTCACAATAAAAATAAACTTTAAATATTGATTCAAACAACGATCATATCGCCTTGCCACCTTGTCCCCCTGCCCTAGCTATTGTTACATTTTTTATTCCTTCGAAGACCCTTCCTAGTTTAAGCCCCACTTCCGTACAAAGCTAGTTCAGAGGGACATTATTGACTTGAACCCAGATGTTTAATTTCTCAAAACATTGATGTGTTCCATTTAACTCCTCCTTCCACTCCTAGAGAATTAGATATTGATTTTCAAATATCCAGTTCCTTGCTTGAGGCTACCTTCAACAAGTCTTCTCTATTGTGAAAAATAAACTAGAAATAATTAGTTCTCAATTCCCTTGCCTCCAATGGATAATTCAGCTTCCAAATTTGACCCACAATGCGCTTAATTCCCACCCAGTTGGCTTTTCTATCTCCCACGATCTTACCGAATAGGCTCTTGTGGCATTCCTCCTAGCTAGAGCGAACATCTCTTGAGTCTATATCAATGACTAAGTTCTATGTATTCGAAAGGGTGAATTTACCCAATCTTTTCCCTAATTCCTCTTCATGTCCAAAAATCCAGCATGCCCTGATAAGTTATCCACCTTCGAACGCTATAAGCAACCGAAACTCTTTTCTCCTAATCACAACACTTCTACTCGACGAACAGAAAAAGAAACACCCTGACAATATTGATCGATCTCTCACAGGTAGAGCTGTTAAATTAAACGAGTCGCTCGTGTGCTCGGCTCAGCTCAGCTCGACTCATTTTTTTTTATAAATAAGTTGGGTTAGAGCTCATTTTAAAGTTTGTTCAATTAACGAGTCAGCTCGACTCAGCTCAATAAGGCTCGTTAAGACTCAAAAATATAATTTTTTATACTTTTCTAAAGCTCGGCTCGATTTTTGTTTGTTAATGCTCGAACTCGACTCATTAATATTGATAAACAGCCGAGTTCGAGATCAATTATATAAACTTACTAAGTTAACAAGCTGAGACGAGCTCGACTTGTGAAGGACTCGACAACTCGACTCGGCTCGTTTGCCCTTTTTTACTAACTAGCCTCCCTCGGGAGAACTTTAACTCCAAATGAGATTTGACTATGCAATTTAGTCAATTCACTAAAAAGACAATCTTGTTAAATTTTCTAATTTCCAAGAGAAAATTGCAAATTTGGTCCCGTTAAATTTAAGTAATCGCAATTTTAGTCCCACCAGACGCATATTTGGTCCTTAACTAATTTTTGTTGTGCAATTGGTACCAAATCTAACTGACCATTAAGTCAGCGTTAACTCTCAGGACTAAAATTGCAACTGTAGGACTAAATTTGTAATTTTCTCGTATTTGATATATATATATATATATATAAAATAACTTTTCATTTTTATTTTTATTTTTTTTATAATTTTATTCACATCTAGAGTTATATTTTTATTTTTTATCAACCACTATAATCATAATAAAATTAAATGATGATTTTCTAAATATATTTATTATTTAATTAAAATATTTGAAATATAGAAAACATTGTATTGCAATTAAAATTTTAACATATTAATAATTATATAAATTTAAATTTATTTGAATTTATATATATCAAATATATTTAAGTTTATATTTTTTATATTAAAAATATTTAAAAAATTTTGTTTTATATCAAATATTAATTTAAAAAATATGAATTAATAAAAATTATTTTTGTTATATATCAAATATGAATTTAAGTTT